TTGGAAATAAAACAATTATTTTAAATACAATTTTAATTAAATTTTTTTAAGATAATTTAATTAATCTCTTAGATTTTAATAAAATTCTTCTAAGAATTCAATAGTTTATACATAAATAATTCTTCGAAAGAATTCAATTATGTCGATAAATAACAAAATTATTATTCCCAAAAATTCAATTATTTTGAAGTATTTTAATAAAATTCTTTGCAAAATTCAATTATTTTCAGAAATAACAATATTTATCACAAGAATTCAATTATTTTTAAAAGTATAATAAATTTCTTTTTGGAAATTCAATGATTTTAAAAAATTGTAATAAAGTCGTTCTCAAGAATTCAATTATTTTCTTAAATAATAAAATGCTTCTTAGGAATTCAATTATTTTCAAAAAAATTTAATAAAATACCTCACCGACATTCATTTATTTTCAAAAATTTTAATAGAATTTTTTGTAAAATTTAATTATTTTTAAAAACTTTTCGCAATTCAATGATTTTCAGTATTTTTTGTTTTCATAAAATTTCCAAACAGAATTCAATTATTTAAAAAAATTTTTGTAAACATTTTCGTAAGAATTCAATTCTTTTCATGGATAATAAGAGTTTCTCAGAAATTCAATTATTTAAATTGGAATTTGCATAAAATTAGTCGAAAGAAATGAATTATTAAAAATTTTTTTATAAAATTCTTGGCAAGAATTAAATTATTTAAAGTCTTTAATGAATAATAAAATTCGTTGCAGGAATTCAATTTATTGCCAGGATAAGAAAAAAGTAAATATTTTTAATAAAAATTAGGAAAAAGTGAGGAAAATAAAATATAGAATGGAATTTTTGTCAATTTTGTGAAGTGTCTAAAACGAGTTTTTTTGGTTGTCAGGTTTAATTTTTCGATAGCTACTTTTTACTACTTCTTTTAGTTTAAAAGATACTTTTTGCCTGTTTTTTGAAACTAATTATCGAGTGCGAATTCTTCACTTTATTCATAGAGCAGTATATGAAATATGGTTAATAAACATAATATTAATAAATTAACAATTAAAAACTTTTTTATTGAATAAAAAATGAATTATTTTACTTATAATATAATAAAGTGAGTTATCGGCAATCCGGTTAATCGGACGTCCGAATAATTGAAATTCCACTGTACTTACGTATACTTTTGCAATTTTTACTAATAAAGAATAAGTAACTCATAATAAGTTGGATCAATATAGTCACTACTGTCATTGTATTTGAAGAGAAAAAAATTATAACTAATTTGCATGTTAAATATTAAGAAGTATTAAGTAAACATTAATAATAAATACATTTATAAACAGAAGAAAATTGGGATACCGGAAAGTCAGTTTTGTTGTCCAGTTATCCTAGTTATTTTTTGCATTATCACAACTAACATTATAATAAATACAAATTTGTTTAAATAATTTGTCATTTCAACAAGAAAATACGTGGAAGAATATATGAATCAGCGGTAAGTATGCCAATAAGTATATAAGTGAAATTCCACTGATTCGTAACTGATACTTATTGCCGAGAATAATTAGAAAACATATAGGTTTTCTTTTCTCATCACGCGCTGCGTAAGAGAAATAAAAACACCTCAGCTCAAAATTGAACCCGTATAAAAAATAAAAATGAATATCGCCCCGTATATGGCGTCACATTCTATTTCGTTTAGCATAGATTTAATTTGATACGTAGCGCAGCACAAAACGGTTGAGGTTTTTTTGTGATTCATATCCTATCTAGGTCTCTTCTCTTATTTCCTCGTTCCCTTTAGACTCTCACACTTCTCATTGAGCTTATTCGTTCCTCTAATCAGCGTAGTAAATAACTCTGATAATATCTCCGTCTGTCCCACACGTTATCAAAGTGCTTTTATTTGATTTGGTCGATGTGTCATTTTTATCACCTTCCCCTTCATTCAGCACGTCTATGAGTTATCCCCACCACCTTCTATCTACAGTCTACACCTCTATCTACACGGAAAAAAATAACATCGTTGAGATATTATTTTTTCAAAAATTGCCAATTTTTCGATTTCTTTTCCTAATGTTTTAGTATAAAATTCAACTTATTTCGATTTTTTTTATTGAAATTTTGTAAAATTTAATTGAAAATAATTAATTTTTTAAAGTATTTTGTTACAATTTTTGAAAATCAAGTTTTGAAAGATTTAAACTGCAAATATGTAAAATAATTGAATTTTCAAAAATTTTAATGAAAAATCTTTAAACATAAATTTAAAAATGAAAATTAATGATTAGCTTCTAATTTTTAAAAATTTAATATTTTCAGTATTTTTAATTAGGTACATATTTCCGAAAATTTAAATACGTATCTACAAAAAATAATAACATTTTAGAATTATTTTTAACAATTTGGAAAAAATTATGTTCGAAATTTTTAATTAAAATTCATCAAGAAATTAAATTATTTTCAAAAAAATTACATTAAAATACTTTTAAAAACTAATTCTTAGAATTTATTGTATTATCACAATATTTTTTAAAATTCAATTATCTTCGAACGAAGTGAATAGAAATTTATAAAAATCTACTGTTTTAAATATATTAAAATTTCGGAGAAAAGAAGAAGTTCATTAAAATTATTTAAAATAATTGATTATTATTAGAAACTGTTCTTATGCATATTATTTTGAATTTTATTTTTTACTGCTTGTGAGAAAGATTTAAAGTAATAAACTATTGTTGTTCAAAATAAAAAAATGACCAATAGGTATATCAATGAATGATTTCTAAATATATTTAAGATCAATTTATAAAATATTTTTAAGGGAGCGTTCACAAATGATGTCACGCTTTTGGGGGTAAGGGGGAGGGGGGGGGGGGTCTTACTTAACGTGACACAATGTATTTTTCTCATGTGAAATTGCAAAAATTGCATGACAGGGGGGAGGGGGGGTTCAAAATCTCAAAAAATTGCGTGACATCATTTGTGAACGCTCTCTAATTGTAAGATATGTTTTTATTACTAAATGAATTTTAATAGACCTTTATTTTAAACAAAATTGTCTGTTTTTCTAAAATATAAAATAATACCTACACATTTAATTAAAACGAATAAATTATATTTAAAAAGTGTGTTATTGAGATTTTATATTTTCTTTTATGATTTAAAAATATTTATTACATATTTGACAATTGTTTTAAAATAATTTAACTTTTCCTCTGTTTCTTTAGCTTAATTTACCCTTTCCTATTTTAACCTCTAGTGTAAACAAGTTCTATTTTGTTAAATACGCGTAAAAAAAATTAATATCTAAATTAGTTTCTAGAGGTAGAATTTTTAAAGTCACGCTTCTGGTGCAAAATACTTTCGAATCTACTATTGATAGGAAAGAAATACAACTAAAGTAATTACTACAAAAATGATCCAGAATCTGGTGTGAAAAAGATATCTATAATTGGTTTAGCTCCTTCGACAAAGGAAAATTACGAAAACCTTTTATTTATTGATTCGGACACATCATTAAATATGAATTAACTCCTTAATCTCTATTCAATAGCGAATGATCTTAAGCTTGCGAACACTGTTAATGGTCTAATGAGTTATAGTAGTTCATACCCATGAATGTGGTGTGAAATATTTAATAAAATCCTTAAGTTATTGTGTTGACGTCAGGGCAAAATAAAATTCTTTAAAATAATATAATGACTAGTGTTCAAAAGGTAAAATTTTAAAAGATTTAAAATGGCTCCTGATATTAAAATAAATAATAACCAAAAGAAAAAATTGCTTCCGAGGCAAGGAAACAATAATATTAATTCCGTTGAAATCTTGTTAATTATGGAGATTTTGCGATCGCTGATTTAGAATTTGAATTAATATTTTACGTCACGTCCCTGAAGTTAGCGTCGAAAACAATATTTTTGGTATTTTTTAAGATGAAAATGTCACTAATTTCACTTCTTTCATTTACCTTGATAGTTGAAAATAAATTTAAGAAGCTTTTTTAATGTGAAAAATGAAACTATAAAAAAATTGTTTTATTTTTATATTTTTGCGAAAAAACATTTTTCGACTCTGAGCGTCAATGCTAACTTCAGGCATTTAAAACATTTAAAACATTTTAGAAGTTAGTTCTGAATTATTTAATTTTCTTTTGTCTTATGATAGCGCACTTTTTCGTTTGCAAAAGATATGTGCAACGGTTTTCTTTGTAACTTCACTCTTCTTGGTACATCATCTCTTTTCAGCATCCAACACAAGACGGACATCAAATTCACGTCTTATCTGCTTTGATAGCGGCGCTCCATTACTTTAATGTCTTGATGAAATCGCTCTCTTTCTCTGTGTCTCACAGTATTCTGCTAAATTTTTGGGAAAGCAATCTAGATGTGACATAAGTGTAAGAAATGTACCTTGGATTCGACCTTCTTTATTTCGAAAAGCTGACTTTAGACTCGTCATCAGCGATCTCAAAAATCCTTACATTCCAAGTTTTATAAAAAACCATCCGAATTATTGAAAAAGTTCACATACCTTTATAAGAATCCAATATGTTATTTTGACATTAGAAAAAACCCTCACTTGATGGAGCAAAATTGACTTCTCATTGCTGATTCGTATTCAAGGCATGAAAATACATCGGGTTAGGAAACTGTGATCTGCATGCAAGATATATTTGTATAGAAACGTTATGTTGTTATTTTTTGAATTTATTCAATTGAACTTTTATGATCTTATAAGAATTTATTTATTTTGCAACCATTTGCAACATTTTTTTTACAAAATTATATTTGTCTCTGCTTCTTAAAAATACCATCTTTATAGTCAAATTGTAATTTTTAGAATGGAGATACACAAAGGGATCATAAAATGATTTGCTTCTTTCTTTTCTTCGGAGCGCGTTGCGTGTCACATATACAACCTAATATGCAATAAAATTCATTTTGTGAACGTAATTCAGATTTATTTAATGTAAATTATGAAACAAATTATTTAATAAATATGTCTTTTGTTTATTTTTAGCAACCTCGACTAAATTGAGACACTCGAGGCATTTGGATTCGAAATCCTACCTACTGAACGAAAATGATTTTATGGTATAAAAACTTTCTTTACTATACCTACCTATAGTAGTAGACTTGACTCGAAAAATATGGCAGAGTAGTGCAGATTCTATAAAGTTATTACTAACTAAACATAAAGTCTTGCTCTTCCATATTTTTTTAGTAAATGCTTCAACTTTTCTTAGTGAAATAACATAAGGCATTTTTTAAAAATAATATTGAATAAAAATTTGTTCTAGATCGAGCAAGAGAGAAACCATAATCATAAACCTGTATTTTCCAATTGTTCGAACTATGCTCCTATAGTGAAAGAAGAAGAACCAGCAGGAACGATTGTCATCAAAGTGAATGCTAATGACCAAGATCCACTTGAAGAAGGAGGTATTTATACAAAATTCTCAATTTTGGTGTCTTTTTTTATTCGCCTAGGAAATTACCATGAATTCTAATACAAAACCTTCAATTTCTACTACTTCCGCCAATAATTTCTTTTTAAATAACTTCATTCTTCAAGAACTATCAGAAAATTATTACTTACAAATTGTTTAATGAATAAAAAATATTAGGGTAAATGCACTAGTAGTCGGACACTTTTTCCCCTTGTTTCTATAGTCGGACATCTGTCAGATATTTTGAATTTATAAAGTGAAAAAGATAATTTTTTAATTGCTATCTACTGGAAAATGGAATTAAAGCATATTAGAAGTTATTAATATAATATTTAAACCCTATAAGTTTTAATATTTATGATTAATTATCAACAAAACTTTGTGCCACTCATCGCGCTACTCGAAAATGGCTGTATCTATAGTCGGACACCATGATTTTTAAAACATTAAATAAAATATTTCTTGTTTAATTATTTTCGAAAATAACACTATTTTAATAAAATATAAACTTCACACATTCGTTTTGTATACTTTTTAAAGTAATTATCACAATGCATTATTATTTATTTGCCAAAAAACACGAAAGTGTCCGACTACTAGTACTGTCCGACTATACCCGCACTTACCCTATATGATTTTATCACTCGGTTGTTTTAAATATTTAATAAAACATTGAATTTAACGATCATTTCGAGTCAGTAAATGTTTAAATAAAACAACATTAAAAAATAATAAATAATAATAATTTAAACATTTACTGACTCGAAATGATCGTTAATTTCAATGTTTTATTAAATATTTAATGAATAGATAATTTTATAAAATTCCAATTTTGAATAAATTTAATTAGAAATTTTAAAGAGCTTAGATTATTGAATAATTTTAATAATTCAAATTCTTTTGAAATTAGTATAATTACTTAATTATTAAAAATAATGGATTTATAGAAAAATTTCTATAGTTAAAAATACTAAAAACAATTGAATTTTGGAGAAGTTACAATTTCAATAAATTCTTGGCAAAATTTCAATTACATATTCTAAAAAATTTTCAACATTTCAATGATTTTCAATATCTACTATGTATTTTAATAAAATTTTCCAAAAGAATTCAATTATTCAAAAAAAAAAATTGTAATAAAATTCTACGCAAACATTTAATTATTTTCATAACTAAAAAAATTTCACAGTAATTTAATTATTTTATTAAAATTCTTTGAAGAAAAAAATTATTTTAAGAAATCTTGATTTCAACGTTTTTAATAATTACCTAAATTTTAAGAAACATTCAATTATTCAATAAATAATTTATTTTTGTATTTAAATAATTGAATTCTTGTAAAATTTTCTAATAAAATTTGATTTAAAAATTAATTTCTGTTAAAATTTTAGATAATTGAATACATATTAAAATTATTGTAGCATGAACTTTTTTAAATAATTGAATTTTAAAAAGGTTTAAAATTAAAATTTTTTAAAATCTGAATCTTATCATACTTTTAATTGTAAATTCTATAGAATTAATTTTTTTGAAAAAAGTTTAATTGAATTTTTTTAAAATTATTTGAAGTTCTTATTTTCTACTATACAATTGAAGAATTTCAGAATAATCGATGAAATTTCGTAAAATTAAATTGTCCACCTTGCCTTTTGCACCTATTCTGGAACCGCCTCAAAAGTTTGTATCTGTTGACTGTACTTATGAAACGATTATGAATGCGAGTTTCCGAAAAACTTTTGCGGACGTACAGTTTGACACACAGATGTTCTCAATGTATATTCATAACCTCTCGCATGAAAAACGATCGTGGCAACGTCGCAAGTTTGGCGTATGGCCGTCTTTAAAATTTCACGCCAAAAGTAGCAGACGAGCTGTAGTATTTAACAAGCGCTATTGCCACGTTTACGAATTCACCTGTCATTTACAATAAATGTTAAAATAAATTTTCAAGTTTGATGTTAAATATCTTTTAAACAAGACGGTGAAAAATTTTCATTTTTTTTATAAAAGTTCATTTTGGTTCAATAAATAAAACTTTAGTTTTTCTAAAAAATTTGTCGATTAGTATAAGTGCAAAAATTAAAAATCTGTGGTTTTCATATGGTTTTCCTATACCGTACATGTTAAAAATCGAAACTTTGATTTCATTTTTTGAGACTTACAGACGGTCAATTTTATTTTAATAGGCCTTATTTTGTAGATAAATATCCAAAGAATAATTATGTGAAATTTAAAAAAAAACTGTCGAAAACGAATTTACGCGACAAATACCTTAAAGAAGAATTTTAGTTAAACATTGTAGTGAATAATATTTGAATTGAAATGAAGAAATTAATTTTAAAGTAGTATGATTAAATATTTATTTAAAAAAGAATTTATTGGTGTTTTGGAATAATTTTCCAATTAAAGAAATTCGTAAATAAATGTAGTAGAACATTTTTTTGAGTATCTAATTATTTTAAGAGTGAATCGGAATATTCTTTAGGGTCAGGGAAAAAGTCTAAAGTTTTGTCTGGAAATCAGGGAAAAAGAAAATTAAATTTAGCAACCCTGACTAACTATGTTCTTTGATGTATGTAAATTTATTCCAATTACTTGAAAAATTGATGAGCAGAAATATATTAATTTGTTTGGTATGTTTCAGGAACTATAACATACAGTTTTGTTACAATATCTGGTGAGAAAGTAAAATTTGAAATCAACAACCGAACTGGTCTCATTAGAACAACGCAAAGTTTTGACCGAGATGAACCGGAACGTGAAAAGGAAGTTTATCTTACTGTACTGGCTACAGATAATGGAAAACCACAACTCGATGATGTTTGTACATTCAAAGTAACTATTGAAGATGTGAACGACAATCATCCTGTTTTTGATAAAGTGGTAAGTCTGTTAACACGTTGTTTCTTCATATTACGAGTCGCCGGAAAGTATTTTTTCTATTTGCATAGCGGTCAGAATTTTATGTGTGGTTTCACTTTCCGGCGGGCTCATATTGTTATATAAATTATTTTATTTTTTTAATTCATCATTAATGTTAAAATTGCGCAGAATTGTCTTCGAAATTCTTACCGTGGTTTCTTATTTTCAGGCGTATATGGAATCGGTTCCACAAGATTTGCCCCTTGGCAGTGAAGTAATGAGAGTTTCGGCCACTGATATAGATGACGGCAACAATTCTGTTGTTCATTACAGCTTAGTATCCAAAAAGACTGATGACAGCGAGCCTTGTTTTAAAATTGATATGAAGACTGGAGTGATTTTCTTAAATAAAACAATAGACGTAAGTAACTGCAAGTTCTGTTTGATCATTTCAATTAGTTCTTTACTACCAGTCTTATTTTATTACGTTAAAGGCCAACAAATTTTTTACAATGATTAAATTTTTACCTCTTGATAACTCTATTAATTAAAGAGAGAAACATTTAATCATCTCTTTTAAGGATTGCTTAAAAAATGAAGTAAAAATTTTCCTTCACACTTTCATTGACAATGCTTCTGAATTGACCATTATTATTTATTCGACTTTCAGAAAAATCCAGATTACAGATTTATTATGGAAGCTACGGCTATGGATCAAGGTCAACCACCACGGTACAGTACAATTGATTTGGATATAAGAGTCGTTGAATCACACAAGAAGGCTCCTTCCTTCGACTACAGATCTCCGGAGCCTATCAAATTGCCAGAAAATTTCTCCGATTTTGATCAGTGTATAGCAACTTTAACTGCTACCTCAAACATTGACTACAGCCCCGATGTGATTTTTGATTTTGTCATTGGAAGAGCAGAGCAAACAAATAAGGGAAACACATTCAGGTAAGGGAAAAGTCTCTTTCACTAATTATTCTGCAAGAAATAAATGAACCGAAAATTTCGAAAGAGGCCCAACTCGGATTTTTATCAAATTTCATTGTTGGTATTTTTTGCATTATTACGTACTCTCTGGTGTTTTCTCGAAAGGAAAACTTTATCGTAAAGGATTTATTTCTTCGAGACTCCAGTCTATAAACATAAATATAAACTTTAGCCCAATTGATACAATATTAAATGTCTCTAAACGGCTCTGCTTGCTTTGGTTTCGATCGAGTGGACACAAACAGTGGACTCGATATAAGTTCGAGAGAAAAGGACATTAATCGAGAAAACGAGAGAAACAATATAAAGAAATATAATGTCAAAAGAAAAGACTTATCCGTCGTATTCACTAAGTAGTCTGACAATTCTTGCTTACCTTGGAAAATTCCTTTCTTAGACAATAATTACAGGCAAACGTCTATTTCATGGAATAGAGGTGCAATCAAATGTTGTTGCGTGCGGGAACATTCAGAAATGTATCAACTTTCTTACGTCCTAAGCCCTTTAAATATTAAATTTTTAATATTTTACTCATTTTTTAATTTAATTCACTGATTTAAAAAAACGACGCTGAACAGTCAAAATTTTTCTAAAAGAGAATTGTAAAAATAAAATGGCTGAATCTCCAAAGGCAAATCGCAATTAAAAAGTTCCAAGCCTTGGAGAAAGGATATAATTTTAATTAAAATTAAATTGTAAATTTTTTTTCTATTTTTTCAACTGACATCGGATTTTAAATTCATTTTTAAAATTTTGTCGTCATATTGACGATATAAATTTTTTATTTATTAATTTCGATATCAAATTTGGATTTAGTGATCCCAAAAACCCCCAAGTAAACATTTTGGACAAACCCGGGAACATTAAAAATTTTGGTCGCCATATTGGATTCGTCATTTTGAATTTTGAAAGGCGGACAACAAATTCGAATTCAGCGACCCCAAAAACCCCCGAAAAATAAATTTCGATCAAATCGCATAAATCTGATGATTCTCGCTAAAGTAATAATTAATTTTTGAAAATTCTAATTAAATTTCTTTTTGAAAAATTTCTTTCAACTTTTCTTAAAATAATGGAATTTCTTTAATAATTTTAATTAAAAATTTTGAAAATAATTGAATTTTATGAACAATTTCTTTCAAGATTTTAAAATAATCGTGTTTATTAATAATTGAAATTGAACATTTAATTATTGAATTTTATTAAAATTTTAGAAAATAATTGAATTCTTTTGAAAAATTTTGTAACGAATTAAGAAAAAAACTGAATTCTTTCGTGAAATTTTTTTGAAAATAATTGAATTTTTCAAAGAATTTTACTATTTATAAATATAATTGAATTTTTTCGATAAATATTATTAAAAATTAAAAAAAAATTTATTCTTTTTTGCAAAGAATTTTACTATTTACAAATATAATTGAATTGTTTCGAAGGATTTATAAAAGTTTTAGAAAATAATTGAAATCTTTTGAAATATTTTATATCGAATTAAGAAAAAAAAATTGAATTCTTTCTTGAAATTTATTTGAAAATAATTGAATTTTTGCAAAGATTTTACTATTTTTTAAGAAAATAATTGAATTGTTTCGAAGGATTTATTAAAATTTTAGAAAATAATTGAATTCTTACGAAGAATGTTATTATTTATGAAAATAATTAAATTCTTGAGAAGAATTTTATTTAAATTTTCGAAATTAATAATTAAGAATTAATTAATTAGTAAATTAGTTAATAATTGAATTTTTTTAATGTTTGAATCTGAAATTATTAAAAAATTCATATTTGAAAATAAAAAATTCTGTAATTTGCTTAATAGTAATCAAATGAATATCATTTGTTTCGTCTAGGTTGGATTTACCGAAATCAACAAACAATACCGTTTGCATAAAATTAGCTCATCACTTGGATTACGAGACTGTCACTGAATATACTTTACGCGTAAGAGTTCAAAACAAATATCAGTTGGCTGCCGAAACCCTTGTCAGCATCCAGGTACTCGATGTCAATGATAACATTCCAACGTTTTTGGAGCTGGAAAAAGGTAGCGTTCTAGAGAATGAAAAACCCGGCGTGTCCGTAATGCAGGTTCGAGCCATTGACGCTGACGGAACTTCTGCACACAATCAGGTATAATGGCAATGCTTTTATTTATTATTTATAAAATATAATTTTATTTTTCGTGGTACAAATTTATAACAAAGATTGCTTTGTACTTAAAATGCACTTACATTCCAGATTACATATGAACTCGACAATTTCAAAGATTTATTTGCAATTGATGAAAAAACTGGCAATATTACGACACTAAAGAGATTCGACAGAGAAAAGGAAGACGCATACAATGTGAAAGTGATTGCAATTGACAATTCGCCCAGTGCTCTGTTCAAAACTGGAGAACACAATAAAGGACAGCAAGTGTTTCGTATAGAAATAGCAGATAAAAATGACAACAGTCCACACTTTACCCACTCTCTCTATTTTGCGAAAGGAGTTTTGGAGAATGCAAATATCAACGAACATGTAATCGAAGTCGAGGCTAAAGATGAGGATACAGTCAGTCCTGTTATGTACAGTATTATTGCGGGAAACACGAACAATAGTTTCTACATCGAAAGCACCACTGGAAAGATTCGCGTTAATCAGCCGTTGGATTTTGAAAAAATCACCGAATACGTTCTGACTGTTAAAGCTTTCGATGGATTGTTCAATGACACGGCGCAAGTTAAAATTTTTATTGTCGATGTAAATGATAATTTGCCAATTTTCGGGGATTTTAACACCAATCCAAAAATAGAAGAGGAAAAGCTAATTGAAGGTAAGCAAAATAAAAGAAAAATATATAGTGGCCGCAAGTCAGGGAAAAGTCAGGGAATTTTGATCTAAAAAACCACAAATTAAAAAAATTTGATACTTAAATGTCAATTCAGTTTTTTATTTAGACGTTTTTGTAATATAACTCATTATAATGGTGCCGTCACATTTTTTATAAGTTTGGACCTTCTTACGGACATTTCAATGTAGAATATTAAATAATTCAAAAATTTGTTAGTCAGGGAAAAGTCAGGGAATTTTGAAAGTAAAATTTTGCGGGCACCCTGAAACAATTTTGTAAGATAATTAGATTGGTTCTATGTCGCTATCTCTCTTAAACCTCTGCAGGGTCTTTAGGGTCAGGAAAATAGTCAATATTTTGTCTGGAAATCAGGAAAAAGTCAGGGAAAATGAGAATTCAATTTTTATGGCAACCCTGATGAACTAAAAATACTTAGAAAAACATGTTTTAATTTTCTGCTTGTAATATGTAATAATATCGAAAAGGATATTAACAATACAATAACTATAATACATTTTTTATAATAAAAGTTCAAAAAAAAAACTGTTAGGAGTTGCAGGAGCAGATTTGCATCATGTTTTGTTGTGTTTCAGAATGTATTACCACCGTAGTTGCTTACGATCCTGATATTAAGGACAGAAATGCTGATCAAAATATCACTTACAACATTGTGAAAGTTGAACAGCAGCCTTTGATAGACATCGACAAGTCAGGTTGTTTGAAATTGAAAAAACCACTCGATCGAGATGCTCCCAATGGGTACCCAACATGGACGGTAAGAATAATAATTCCTCCCATTATTGACACAAAAATTTACAAATCGCGCCTAAAATCACATATTCTTGATTTCAAATAGTTTTATCAATTTGAAGACATATTGACTGAATTTAATTTTTGATATTTATTGTTTAAGGTTATTGTCATGGCTAGAGATGAAAATGGTTCACCGACTTCTCTTCAGAATCTTCAAATGGTGAACATAACTCTAGAAGATATAAATGACAATGCACCATTCCTTGACATGCCATATCCTGTTATATGGGATGAGAATAAACCGCCTGGGAAAATTATTACCTTAGAAGCTCAGGATTATGACGACCCGAAGGAGAATGGACCTCCCTTCTACTTTGAAATTGATTATTCCGCAGACGAGGAAATCAGGACGAAATTCTCCATTAAAGATAATAATCTGTACGCTTTGGTTGAATTTGATCGAGAGGAAAGAAAGAGCTACATTATTCCTATTTCAATAACAGACAGTGGCACTCCCAGAATGACTGGCGTCTCCATGTTGACAGTCATCATTGGAGACAAGAATGACAATCCGATGAGAAATGGCAATAGTTCTATATTTGTCTACAACTACAAGGGAGAAGCACCTGACTCAGAAATCGGCAGAGTCTATGTGGATGATCCTGACGATTGGGATCTGCCAGACAAGAAGTTCTCGTGGGCATCGCCACACGATGGATTCCAATTGAACCCAGAAACGGGAATGATTACTTTACTGTCGGGCACTACGAATAAAACGTTTATTCTTAAGTTCCGCGTTAAGGAGCAGAGCAGCTATTTTGTCGATGGACATTCAGAGGTCACAGCTGAAGCCATTGTTAATGTTACTATTAAGGAAATTCCCGAAGAAGCAGTCGCGAAATCTGGATCAGTTCGCTTCTATGGAATGAACGCGGAAGAATTCGTTACGCCCTTTGAATCTGGTTTTAGCAAGAAAGATTTATTCCAGCAGATTTTGGGGAATATGTTGAATGTGTCGACGGATAATGTCGATGTTTTTACGGTACTTCATTCGCCGCATCATAATAATAAATCTCTATTGGATGTTCGATTTTCTGCTCACGGAAGTCCTTATTATGCGCCGGAGAAGCTGAATACTATTTTGGCCGAACACGCCACGGAAATTGAACGAAAATTAGACACAAATATTTTATTGATAAATGTAGACGAGTGCCTTCAAGAGAAACTTCACTGTAATAATTCGTGCCGTAGTTTTCTAAATATAAGCTCAGTGCCTTCTTCTGTCTTTACAAATACAAGCTCGTTCGTTGGTGTTAGAGCAGTCGTTGATCCGCAGTGTATTTGTCACGTGGCAGAACCTATTGTTTGCTTGAATGGAGGAATTGCGGTCGGTGAGAAGTGCAAGTGCCCTGCAGGATTCGAAGGATCGAGATGCGAGTTGTTGGCTATTGGATTCCATGGCGACGGTTGGGCTGTTATGCCACCACCTGGACAGGCCTGTGATGATTCACATTTAGGTAACTTATTTTAGTTGTGCTCAATTCAAAAATTTCTCCAATTTCTTACAATTACTGTTTGTAAAAAGAGTTTTATTGAAATGAGTACGAGTAAAATATTTTGGTGTGTTTTCAGGTTTGGAGATAACCCCCCATACAGAGAATGGATTGATTTTCTATTTCGGCCCAGTCATTTATAGTTCAAAATTAGGAATTCAAGACTTCATGGCTTTGGAAATAAAAAATGGATTCGCTGTCTTGTACGTTGATTATGGTACAGGAACAGTTAAATTGGACCAAAAACAAATCAAGTTGACCGATGGTAAAAGTCACAGGATAGACGTTTACTTAACAAAGAATGTAAGTTATATTTTTCGTTTTTAATTGATAATCACGTACAGGGAAATTAGGGAATTTTATCAAAAGTACTGTAAAGTATTCAGTTTATAGAATTAATCTCAAGTTAATAAATGTTAATTTTCATTTTAAACTTGAGGCAAAACTGATTAATCAGATTTAAATGTTTTGACGATTAACTCTATGTTTCAGGCAATCGAAATGAAAATTGACAATTGCGGAATATCGGCTTGTATGGGTCTTACTGCTCCGCTAGGTTTAAATGAATTTTTAAATGTGAACGGTCCTATGCAAGTTGGAGGCACACTTTCGAATCTGAAATATTTATCTCACAATTTGGGTTGGAATTACACTCCAACAGAGAAAGGATTCGTAGGATGCATTCGTAATATGACATTTAACGGAAATGTAAGTATTCAGGGTGATGCTACAATTACAAATCAAGCAATTATAAGTCATTACGTTCGAAAAATAAAAATATTACTTACCTTTTTTTCAGACGTACAATTTAGGAATGCCGTCCATGGCGAAAAACGCAGATTCTGGATGCAATCATGGAATGGCGAAGGCTGTTTCCTTTGGAATAGATAGAAATTTCTTGGTAGCTATTGCTGTTTGTGCAGTTACATTGTTCATCCTTCTTTTGGCTGTAGTTGTTCACAAGAAGCGGACTGATGATTTATACAAGGACATGGATGACATAAGAGAAAATATTATTAATTACGATGATGAGGGTGGTGGTGAAGTGGATACGGGCTATGATTTAAATGTCCTTAGAGCAATGTACGATCCTTCGCTTGACTCGAAAATTACACCTCTGGGAATGCAAACTAGAGGTAGGAGATGAATTCAATTATTCCTTTATTTCATTTATTAATAGACTCGGGCTCCGCACTCATCTACTAAATAAATATTTAGTAAATATTTTTTATGAAAATTAGGAAAAAGTAGAGAAATTTTTGTCAGTTTTGTGAAGTGTCTAAAACGAGTTTTTTTGGTCGTCAAGTTTCATTTTTCGACAGTTACTTTTTTTACTACTTTTTGTAGTTTGAAAGCTACTTTTTTTAAAATTATTTGCCGAGTGCGAAGTCTGTAGACTATTTATTAATGACAATATTTATAATAATTGTATAATTTGCATAGGACAAAACGAAGTTCCTGATATTTGTGGCTTTCTGGATGTTCGCAAGGAAAGCTGTGATAAAGATCCTGACATAAATCCATTTGATGATGTTAGGCATTATGCCTATGAAGGTGAAGGCAATTCAGATGGTTCATTGTCATCGTTAGCTTCGTGTAAGTAATTTTAATAAAATTTACTGTCAATCTTGTTTTAAAAGTGTGTGTACTGAATGAAAGTTTAATGGCATACGTTTTACAGGTACTGACGATGGGGACTTGAAGTTCAATTACCTTTCGAATTTCGGACCAAGGTTTAGAAAATTAGCCGACATGTATGGAGAGGAGTCCAGTGATGAAGAAAGTGAGGGTGTCTGCGAACGTGAAAGTGAAAGTTGGTGTTAAAATAAGTGAATTGATTTGGGAGCATATTTCAGATGATCTGCATCATCGTCATCATCATCATCATCAAGTTACTGCTTGAAAAGTATGAGTTTTTTCTGAACAATTATTTTCTAATGCAGAGGACAGCTACAATTGAGATAAGAATTATTTTTGATTAAAATAATTAACATATTGTTATAGAATAATGAATATTCTTTTATTGTAATTTTTCAAGCACTAGCTGAATGACATAGTGCGCCTCGAAGATGTCCTTGAAAAATTATTTTAATATTCCTTGCTTCCATGTCATAAAAGTTCAACTGTTGTCGAGTCGGCGTTGTCTTATGCAAGTAGTAAAAACGAATTTATATATATTTCGTCTTTATGTACTTAAAGTAAATAGATACATACTATAATTTTTTCCATGGCGAAGAACGCATTTCCATCGATTTCGAATTCTCTAATTCTACGACACGCCAAAGAATCGAAACAGGAAAATGTGATATTAAATATTTGATGTAATATACATTCCCATTGTGCTGAATGAATAGCAAACGTTTTAAAATGTTAAATAATAATATTTAGGTTTTATACTAAAGCCTTAACATCGATCAAATACAGGGTGTAAAATTTACATATGAAACTATTATAAGTAAAAGAAATTCTAATCAAATATATCGTGAACAGCAACAATAAGTATTAAATAGAGGTATTTTAAAATTGATTAAATCATCGTTAATAATGGTCTATTATATGAATAAATTTTTTTTATGGAGTGTGACTGATTATTGTTAAAATTTATTGACAGAGAAATTCTGTACATAAATTAAAAAAATTTTGAAACTTGTACGGTTTTTATATCAAAGGATCACATATTCTTTGTAAGTCTGCGGAAAGTGTGTCTTCCGTCCAAACATAATTATTCTTTTACATTCTCATTAGTTAATACTGAAAAATAGTTTCTAATTAAATCAACTATTTACACCATAAATACTGTATATTATCTTATCGGATTTAATTTCATCCCTGCGGAACTTGTTTCATAATAATTCTTTTCAGAAAAGTTGTTTCTGAATCGATTTCGAAAAATGAAAATTATTTTCTTTCCGAGCGTCAGTAAAAAAGCGTTTTGAAATCTTTAAAGTATTTTTGATACGAAAACTTATATTTTTATTTAAAATCAAAAGTGGAATATGAAGGCAAGTTTCGGAGGGTTAATTAAAGAACGATGTAATTTTCAAGTTTATAGGTATAGTAAGAAATTGCATTGTATTTATACATCTATTATTACGAATTAAGCAGCTACTAGTGTCATTTCGATTAAGGTGTAACATCACTCGAAAAATATTATTTTTCGTCTTTAAGACCTCAAAAGTAAAAAACCATTGATTTTATATGGACGTCGGAAAAGGCAATTTTACGAAAAGTTTCAAACGTCCTATATGCTTCACTGCCAAATCTATTTCTTTGAAATTTCTAGCTTTTTAGCGTTTCGCTATTAAGTCGCCATTTATACATTTTGGTTTTTTACCTCAAGACATTAATTACCTTACTTCCAAATTTTTCGAGTGATGCTAGACCTTAAAATTGTAGAACAATTTAAGGAGAAATTTATGTAATTTATTACGTAGTTTCAGCAACAAATGACTGTAAAAGTCCCATGATAATTTTTTATCAGTATCCTTTTTATTTGTATAATTTATAGTATAACTGTTGAGTATAATAACTTCCACGTCTTCTTATGAAGAAATATTTTATATTCAATCGCCCGATTTTTTTTACACTTAGTCGTTTAATTTTTATACTTTTTCTTTAAGAATATTAATTTACTATTTTTTTTAGGTAAATTATACAATTTTTCTTATTTTTACACAAAACGGGAATAAAAAAAAATACATAAGAAAAGAAATGTATTTTTTTTTATTCTAAGATGAAAGAAATTTATTTTTCCATTGTGAGGAAAAGTTAGTTTTTAAAGAGATTTTTTTTATAACGATAATTATACTCTATTCAGCCTGCTTGTATGTTTTTCATACAATTTTTTTTGCATTTACGCGCAAAATGGGACTTTTACAGATTATTTGAAATGAAATATTTTGTCGTGCCTTTTACAGATATCAAAATATTTTTAGCGCATAAACTTATAACAGATTTATAAAATTGTTTATAAACTATTTCTAAGGTATACTTAGTGGATAAAGTTCAAAGAACTTGCTTCACTTTTTAATAATGTATGACTGTTGACCGATTTTTCAACAATCTTACACCAAATCACCATGTATTTTATAGTAATACCGAATAAAGATTTTATGAGGAAATCAATTTTCGAAATTGACAATTATTTCAAATCTAATAACCTTCCATTTTTTCAAGCAAAAATGTTTATTTTCCGACATGACCATTACAGTTAATATCAAAATAAAGTTTTTTTAATAAATTATGTCTATAACAATGTTTTTATATTTAAGACACTTTTTTTATTTAAACTTTGTCATAATTAATTAATTAAAAGATTTTGTCAATTTTTTCTAATAAAAAAAAATCAAAATTATAATATAATTATCTTGGTTATATGTCAGAAAGTTTTTAAATTAACAATTGGTTGTTAATAAATATTTTTTATTTAATTTAAGGGGGGGGGGAACATCGATATTTTTAACTACATCAAGAAAATAATTTAAATATTCCACAATAGTTATTTTCGTATCAAGGGCGCAAAACAGGTGATTGCGACGATGGCGAAATGAAGGGACCGAGGGGACACAATTTCGCGCCCGAGGCGAAGCCGAGGGAGCGAAATTGTGTCCCGAGGTCCCGAAATTTCGCCAGAGTCGTAATCACCTTTGCGCCCATGATGCTAACATAATTTTTTGTCCTAACTGCATGGAAAGTATGTCATTGAGGGCACGAGCAGTGAATTCTTTTTAATGATTTTTTCGATTTACCTAATCTTGCCCTCGCTTCAATTATTTTTTGCGTCCGAGGTGTGAACAAACTTTCTTGTCCTACCTGGACAAAAAGCATTTCATTTTAGACACAAACTGTATATAAAAAGTTAAAAAAGAGATTTAAAGGAAACAAGCATGGGGCTATATGTTTTTTAAGAATATTTTAAATACATCTTAAATTGAACCAAAATTTTTATTTTGAAAATATTTTAAACAATACTTAAATGTCACACATTGAATGGTATGTTTTGTAGTTTAACAAAATTCATAAACTTTCGTTAAGAAAAAATTAAATTTTATACATATTTGTTGTTTTTTGAAACAAAAACTTAACGAGGCGAGATAAAAAATAATGAAAATATGAGCAAAAGATACAGATGTGTGAATGTCAAATTATTTATTTGTAGATGTTGAATGTGCAGTGCGATATGTTATATGTAATTGATTGATTGTTTGATTCTTGAGAATTATTAATTTGTGATGAATAATGAATGTCATTGGTTTTCCGAACTTTGTTTGATGTGTTTTGCCCTGATGAGCTAGCTGCAGTTGAAATAGAGTCAATATCTGATGCAATTTCGTGGATAATTTTTCGTTTATTTGATTTTTTATTATTTGACTCATTCGATGGAATTTCCTTGATCTGCTTTGAACCACTTGATGAGGCTAAATTCACTGAGGCTTCAATTTGATTTCCAATTTTTCTCTTGTATGTTGTTGATTCTTCAATGTAACCTAGAAATATATTTATTTTTTAGAATATTAGTTCATTTTTATTTATTTATTATTATATAAATTAGTTATTTTTAAACAATTTTTAAATATAGGAAAACAAAGTTTCGTTAAAAGTTATAGGGAGGATTTTAATAAAATGTCAAATACTAGAAAAACAAATTTTAATTTAAATAAAAATGAAATTTTACCTTCCGCTACGGCTGAAGTTTTCCAACCTCCGAGACGTTTAAGAGCGATTATGTCCGCACCAGAATCGGCTAGTAATGTAGCAGATGTCCTTCGAAAGCTATGTCCGGTATATAATTCAGGATTTTCGAGATCTAAATATTTGGCAATTTCACTCGGCATTTTACCGAATTTATTTTTCCCAATAACTTGGGTGGTGCACTTTCCTTTTTGAAAGTTAAGGAAAAATTTATTCGAATTAGCATTTTTTGGTCTTAGAGATTCGTACTTTGACACAATTTCTCGAAATTCTCCTTCCACAGTAAATGATCGTGGTGTTTTGGTTTTTGTATTTGGTATTTTTATTAAAAGCAGATTGCCTTCATGAAGAACATCTTCCATTTTTATTTTTGATAATTCTTCCCTTCTGCAAGCACCACTTATGCCGAAAATTAAAGCAACCTAAAAAATATTTCAATTTTTAATTAGCTTTTATTATATAATTGGTAGTTTTTGTTTTATTTGTTTATTATTAAAGCATTTCTTAATATATTTTATTTATTTATAGAAGGTTATTTATTTTATTTTATATATTTTACAATCATATGCATGCATTTTTAGCAATCATTATTTTTAATTAATATTTTTTTAATGTATTATTGATTTTTAACTTTATAAAATTTAATTAATTAATTTATAATTTTTTTGTTATTGTTATACTTTTTAATATATATTGTACTTATTTATAAATAAATATTTGCATTTTATTTTATAGATTTTAACAATGATATGCATGATTTTTTTGAAATGATTATTTTTAAGTATTTATTTTTATATTATTATATTTATCAATTATTTATTTAACGTGTAACTTTATTTATTAAATTAATAAATTTGTTGATTTGTTGTGCAGTTATGAAATTATTTTTGCACGCATTATTAATTATTATACATATTTTTATTAAACTTTTTTTTATATATAATTATTGATTATATAAATTTTTGTTTTATTTTGTTTCTATCTTATTTTCTTTTTTATAGATATATATATTTTTACTTACTTTTGTAGCCAAAAATATGTCATCCGGAGCTTCGGACAGAAACATGTTAACATTTTCGGGAGATAACGTCTTCGATTTTTTTGATTTGTAACCATCTGAGTTTCTTTTCAGAAAACTTGTAACTTTCATAAAGCTTGCAATGTTAACATTGTCATTGTTTTTTAGAGTAGATTTTAACATGGAGTATGTTGACCATACCGTTGGTGGTTTATACTTTTCAGATAATTCTATCAAATATGCTAACATAACATTTTCTGTAATAGTCGTCACCTTTTTTGATTTGGCCCAGGTCTTGAATGTTGTGTAGACACTGTTATATTTATTCTTTGAAGTTGACGGCAGGAAATCTTTTTGAGCCTCTTTCACAAGTTCGCGAATTTCCGGTGGTGTGTGGAAATTAGTATCTTCATTTTCATCCGAATCATTTGAATTATCCATCATCTTTTTCGAATTTTGACAATTTTCAGCAATGACAAAAAGAAACGTGCTTGATATCGTTAACACTAAGTCGTCTGCTACGCTACGGCGTTGTTTTTCGGAGGGAATAGAACCAGATATTAAGGTCGTTCTCCAATAGAATCCTAAACTCATACGCTGCGATGCGTAACTAACGTATGGTTTTAGCATGGGTAACCATAGCAACCCGACGTTACTGCGTCTGCAAATCAACGCAACGCCGCTTTTTGAATCCTATTGGAGAAAGACCTTTATGAGACAGGGAATCGGAATCATCGTTTGTTGAGCAGGGTTGGACACATAAAATACTTTAGTTAAATTACGTGGCCTTTTACAGTAAAATATCTCGCATTTTTTACTTAAAATGTTTAATACACAATGTATCTTTGAGTAGAGGGGGGTAAAATACGTACTTTACATATTATGTATACGAAACTAGCTATTTTACGTGAAAAAAATAAAGTAACGCAAAATTTTCTTTACTTTATGACCGTTAAAACGAAAGAAGCGGGCGGAAAATAATTTGCGCCCGCTCGGAGGTAGAAGAAGCGGGCGCAAAATATTTTGCGCCCGCTTGGAGGATGGTAAGCGGGCGCAAAATATTTTCCGCCCGCTTCCCCTACCCCTGCGTTGGAATGAGTCACTTTGCGCCCGCTCTAAGTGCCCGAAATGACATACTTTCCGTGCAGGTAGGACAAAAAGTTATTTTTGTAATTTTTGGTGAGGAATTCAATGGTCATAAAATATTTTTACCCTTTTTGACTTTTTATTTTACTTAAAAATTGATAGATTTTGGAATCAATGCGTAATTTTGTAGAAAATATGTTTTTGAATTCCCAAAAAAATTGCAAAATGAAAAATTTATTTTCATAATTTTTAAAGGATTATTTTGAATACAAATTTTTGCTTTTAGGCTGAAAATGCTAAAAATACCATTTTGTTATTCAATTTTTTTTATTTGAAAATTCATTTGTTTATTTTTCTAACTAAATTTCAGACGATAATTTTATCATATTTTTTAAACAGGGCATTCTCCGTAAATTTTTCACTCAAAATTTTTTTTAATAAAACAATTTTTTTCGAATTCTATATGAAAAATAAAGAAATACCGGGTTTTTATTTTTTTTATTTGATAAAAATTACGGTAGTTATGATTTTTTTAAATTTAACGTCTTCAGAAGCAAAAGACTTTTGGAACATTTTTTTTGTTATATGTGACCGCGTCTGAGAAAAGGGACCTTATGCTCAAAAAAAATTTTTAACCTGGTATTAATTGCGTTTTACATATTTTAAAGACCTTAAAATGTAAAAAAGCGTTTAAATCCTTCTAAAAAGTGACTTTTCTCAAAACCGAAGCAATCGATTTTCGATTTTTTTCTTTCATTGCAATCCTGATAAATAAAGGAACTTTTTTAATACTTTGAACAATGATTTCAAAGGTGATTTAAATTAAAATGATACAACTTTTTTCTTTTTTTATTTTGACAGTATATTATACAAAATTTGTAAAGAGAAAATATTTAAAAACAAAATAAATTCCAGTTTTTCATTTTGTTGCTATAATGGCATAATTCCGAGGCGATACTGCAGGATCGAATAGTTGAATAATTTTAGGTTTCAAAGAATCGTTGCTTTGCTTTAAAAATGTCGCCATATCCAAAACGATCGCTGCTTCTACAACAGGTGCTAAATACATTCTCAACATGTGGAAAACTTCTAGTTTCCATTGTTCAGCAACATAAGTCTTGTACATATGTTCCAAACACTCTTTCGATGGAATCTGCAACAAAAATAACAAACTTTTTCAAGTTCACATAAAATTTTCGGACAAATTACAATTTCTATACAGATTGTTTCTCAAAGAGATTTAAAAATTGGTAGAAAAAATTTCCTTCGCTTATAGTTTCAGAGAAATATGCCAACATGTAATATCGACATTCTGTATATAAATTCACTTTAAACCATTAAATTCAAAGCAAATTATCATAAATTTATATGCAGAATGTGCAATTACTTTGAATCAGACCAAGAAGACTAGAGACTTCTTGAATCAGACAAAACAAAAATGCATTTTCAAACAATTGCAGAAACACCTTTACAACTTGGTGTGGGATTTCATGAGAGTGAAAAGGATAGTGCTATCGACTATCTCTTTTGGTCAGTTCGGTACACATGGGAGATAGGATTGCACCCTTATGTTTGTGGCTTTCTAACCTATACATCATACATACAGAGCAACAAGTGCTTAGCCAGTCAGTTTACTATTGTGTATTGTTCTTCTTCTTGGCAGTTATTTCGTTATTTATTGTGAAATGAGGATATGTTATTTGTAAAAACAATAGAGGTTTGTAAAATTCTCATATAATTTGCTTGTTTTCCATTTTTATATTTAGAATTGTTTCATTTTTCATTCAGAATATTCTAGATCATTCATTCGATGTAAGTTTCATATTATTTTAAAATAACTTTTCTTAAATTAAAAACGTGTATTTTCAAACGGGAAATTCAATCAATATATTGATCAGTAGTATATTGTTGTAGAAATATTATTGTCAAGCTGAAATTAATATTTCTTATAAGAAGTAAGCATTAATAATTTCACTAGTTGCATATCAACTTCATTTGTTTGCAGATCAATTTTCATTTTTATTTCATTCGTTCAAAATATTAAAAATGTACAACGATTTTTTTGTCAGGGAAATCAAGAAAATTGAAACTTTTTTCGATTTATTTTCAAAAATTGCGACTTTTTCGACTTTTTTCCAAATATTTAAAAAAATAACACTTTTTTTAGTATAATAAAATGCAACTTATTTCGATTTTTATAGTGCGAAATACACACACAAATCTTTCAAAAATAATTTTTGAATTATTTTTCAAGATAATTAAATTTTTCAAATACATACTATAATAAAAATCTTTTTGAATAATTGAAATTTTGTAAAATTTAATTGAAAATAATACATTTTTTCAAGTATTTTGTTGCATTTTTTGAAAATCAGCTTTTGAAGAATTTTAGTTACTTTAAAAAATAACTCAATTATCAAAAATGTCAAATAAAAATCTTTAAATGTAATCGTTTTATTTAAAATTGTATAAAAAATAATTGATATTCTGCGATAAGATTTTTGTTATTTATGAAAATAATTGATTTCTAGCGAAGAATTTTATTCAAATTTTTTTAAATAATTGAATTTCCAGAAAAAAATGTATTATCTGTGAAAATAATTGAATTCTTAAGAAGAATTGTATTGAAAATACTTGAATTGCATGGGAAAATTTTATTAAAATTGCAATTTTATTAACTAAATGTTGTAAAGAATTTTGTCAAAATGTTTTTAAATAATAGAATTTTTAAAAAAATTTTATTTAAATTTTTCAAAATAATAGAATTTCTTAGAACTATTTTTTCAATTAATTTTCTAAATATATTTGAATTCTTTGGAGAAACTTCATTAAAAAATAATTTAATTGGTTCGAAGAAATTTATAAAAAATTGGTGAGTAATTGAATTCCTGTGAAATTTTTATTAAAAATTTGTTTAAATAAAAGAATTCTTTTGAAAAAATTTATTGAAATAGTAGATATTAAAAATAATTGAAATGAGGAAAATTTTTGAAAATAATTAAAAGTTTGCCAAGAATTTTATTAAATTTTTTGAAAATAATTGAATTTCGGAAAAGAATTTTATTAATTATAAAGATAGTTGAAAATTTGACAAGAATTTAAAAAAATTTTTGAACATAATTGAATTTATGCGAAAAAGGTTTATCACTTTTGAAAATAATTGAATTTCTATAATCAGTTGTTCTTAAAATTTCTATTTAAATTCACTATAAATTGAAATTTTCTAAAATTTCAAATTGAAACCTTTGAACTTCATCTATTTATGAAGATTGTAAACGCAACTCTTTTGAAATTCAATTAATTTTGAAATTATTATTATTGTCAGAAATAGAGAAAATTGAAGGGTTTGTTTTAGAATTTGTAGTAATTTTTTAGTTTATGAGGCAAATAAAAAAAAAACAAAAATTTTCTTATAAATTCTGGAAATTTAATATTTTCCAGTACTTTTAATAAAAATTCCTGACTATTCCCTGATTTCCTGGACCAATTTTATTTATTTATTTATAAGTATTTTCATTTGGAAATTTTTCTCAACATTAACAAATTTAATTTCTCATTTCAGAGCTGAACGAGACTTGGATATATTTGTTCTTGAAAGAATAAAATTTAAAGTTATTCCAATAATGGCAGAGATGATGGAAATAAATGAGTTCAAAATTGATAGCAGTGACGAAGAAGATAGTACTGACGAAGAAGATAGTACTGACGAAGAAGATAGTATTGGCGAAGAAGATAGTATTGGCGAAGAAGATAGTGCTGCCGAAGAAGTTAGTACTGACGAAGAAGACAGTACCGATGAAGAAGATAGTACTGGCGAAGATATGTATTGCGATAACGAAGCACCAAAAAGAGTGAACCTTATGGCTATGTGCGTACCATTAACAGCGCATCCAGATATAAGGGCTCTTGATCTTTTCGTTATGGATTTAAGCATAGCGATAAAACACAATGCTTCCATTGAGTCTATACTAGATAAATTTATATGGTTGACAAAATTTTATCGGAGTATCAATCTCCCCATCACTAAAGATGACTTATGGAACAGACTGGGTATTAATAATAATAACTTAGTTACTTATTTATATTGCCAACTTTGCAAACAAGAGATTGGAAGCAACCGTGTAATAGAAAAAGAGTGCAAATGCGGTAGTTGCGGCCCAAATCTCGACGAATCAAACGTTGCAACTTTTATTCATATACGCACAATTCCTCAGCTACAAGATCTCTTAAAAATTCCGAATATTGCCGAATCTTTAAAATATAGGGACAACAGGTGTAAAGTAAATTCAGATGGCATTGAAGATATTTACGACGGTGAACGGTACAGGCAGCTGAGAAACCCTGGGAATTTCTTGTCGAATCCGAACAACTTTTCTCTGTCTCTATGGACCAAGGGAATTAAATTGACAAAGTCGTCTGTCAAAATGTATCCTGTCATGTTGCAGTTAAACGAGTTGTCGCCTTTCTCTCGAACGCAAAATATGTTCCTTGCCGGACTTTGGATAGCAAAGAAAAATCCAATCATGAACTCTATTCTGCGTCCGATCTGCAACGAGCTGAGGGAGTTGTATTCTAACGGAATTTCTTGGACACCGGATGGAGAAACTGAGATAGTGAGTCGATTTATAACAACAACATTTATAGCAGATTCATTGATGAAGGCGGACGTTTTACGTATGGAAAAGTGTAATGAAACGAATGGATGTCCTTACTGCTTGGTTCAGGGTCAAATGGAGGGAAACTGTTGGGTTTATAAAGCAGGAGAGCACCCGTTACGAACAAGTGACTCAATACGTAAGTGTGGGTTACAACATGTCCTTGAAGGAACACCATTGACAAATGGTGTAAAAGGCGTTTCGATTTTATTTTTATTGCCTTCATTTGATCTCATTGAGAATGTGCCGATAGATTGCGCTCATAATGCATATCTTGGAGTTGCCAGAGAATTGGCTAGACGTTGGTTTACTGATTCAAAAGAGGAGTGGTATATTAGAAATCCTGATTCATTAACAGCAATTGACGCCAAGTTACTTACCTTCACATCTTCCATGAATATTTCAAAAAAGCCTTGCAGAATTCAATTATGCGACACGTGGAAGGCGTCTGAGTGGCGTGACTGGCTACTGTATTTCGCACTTCCATGCATCCAGGAACTTTTGCCTCAGCGTTATTTGTGTCATTTTGAAAAACTCGTTAACGCTATTCGCATTCTTAATTCCACTTCAATCAGCCAAGAGGATTTGACTACTGCTGATGGCCTTATTACTTCTTTTGTTCACGACTACGAAATTCTGTACGGTTTAAAAAACATGGTGTTCGATATTCACCTTCTGAGTCATCTTACAAATTCTGTTCGAAAATGGGGTCCTTTGTGGTCACATTCGGCTTTACCGTTTGAATCGCTTGTTAGAAAAGTCGCGAATTACATTAAAAGTCCCACTCACGTGGCTGATCAAGTATTGTGTAGATTTTTTATGCAGAAATTCGTGATTGTAGCGCCAAAAATATCAACCATAAGTGATAGAGCTCGCGGAGGGATGAATCGTGTTTTGAAAAATTGTAATGTGCACGTGGAAGGGTCGACAGAAGGACATTACTTCATTGGTTCAGGAAAAGGAATGCTTCGTTGCCCTCAGGAAGAAGAAATCCGATTAGTAAGAGCTGCTGGGAAGATTATTAATCACGATAGGAATATACAGCTGTTTAAGAAGGCTTGCATTCATGGTGTGGAGTACAGGATTTTCGAGAATAACGGAAAAAAGTTTTCTAATCACATTGTTTTCTCTTCCAATTTAAAGTTTTTCAAGGTAGAGAAAATTTTGTCCTACAAACATGGTGAGAAGATAGTGGCTGGTATTATTGGTAAATTATTACACAACGACGGAATCGTTGACAGATTGCAACGCCTTGTTGAAACAGAGGAAAAACATTTCATCCCTTATCACGATATTAGGTGTCCAGGATTTATTATTTCGAACGAGGATAGTCTTGCTGCTGTACCACTGACTAATATCTGGGAAAGTTATTAATTAACGTTAAGGCTAATTGTGTTCAACAATAAAGACAATTAAGAAACTATTTTTTATAACAATAAACTTGTGATGTTGTGTATTTCTTAATACATCGAGACAGAAATTGTTCCTTCGCTTGCAGTCCAAGATCTACAGTATTATCTTTTGAAAGAGAAAATTTACTTTATCCCCATATTTTTTATACTTATGTACCACGATTTCTAGTAAACTTTATTTGTGAAAAATTTACGAATGTCAAACTCAAATTTAAAAATGTTAGTTGGTTTAATGAATGTATTTTGAATTGAAGGTAAAACGCAATTCTTTATTTTATGTTGTTTATTCGCAAACTATTCGTAAAAAGAGAAATGAATTCTTGATAGTCAATTATTGCTTTTGGTACGAAAGAATATTTTTCTATAAACTTTATTGTATGTAAGTACATAAATAAATTGTAATTTTTGTAAATACCTGTTTTGAAGAAACACCAACTTTATTTAAAGCCCAATTTGCATAATTAGGAAAATCGCTCGAAGGACCACCACGACCAATTTTCACATCGTCGATTTCTGCAGAATACAAAAAATATTAGATTAAATATAAAGTAATATGTCTTGAAATTTAAAACAGTTTATAAAACAGTTTTTTAAACATACATTTAATTCGATAACGTTAAATATTTTATCAAAACAATTAAAAAAATAAATTTTCTAAATAAAACAATTTCAGGCATCACAGATAGGGTAGGTGGTCACTTTTTCTAATCCTTTGTGTCTAAAAAATCGATTTCTAATGAAATCTGTTTTATAAAAAAAAATTTTTCTGAAAAGTTACGATTTCTAATATTTATTTTCCTGAAATTTGTGAAATTCCATAATTTTAATAAAAGTTAGAAAATTGTTAAAAAGTTAAGATTAGGAAATAAAAACTATTTTGCATATTTTCTGCTTATCAATCACAATTCTGTTCACAAAATTATGAGTTTCTTTTTGAAAAAGAAGAAAAAGTCTCATAAAATTTCTATTTCTTATCACAATTATTTTAAACAAAATTCTGTTCTTTGAAAAAAAGAAATAATAATTTGCCAAAATTATTTCAAAATTATTCCAAAATATTATTTCCAATATTCCAAAATAAAACATTTTTTTAGAAAATTTTAAATATCTTTAGGAAAAAATCCCCTACAATTTTTAAACGAAATCTCAAATATTTTTTTTAAAGAATTAATGCATTTTCATAAATTTTATTTTTTAATCATAAATTAAATATTGTTAGAAAAAAATAAATTTGAAAATTACCTTTCTTAGAAAAAAAATTTTTTTTAGAAAACGACCTTTATAAGAAGAAAGAAAATTAGAAAATCACCTTCATTAGAAAAAGCTTTTTTTAGAAATTCACCTTTATTAAAAAAAAAGTTTTAGAAAATAAAAAATTAGAAATTTTTAGAATTCATTCATTCCATTAAAAAAAAAAAAAAAAAGTCGTAAATCTTTTATAAGGCACGTAAGGTGCCTTCTTATATAAAATCATGATCTTGAGAAATATAAAGATTTTCAATACTATTGTCTACTTTTAAATGTATATTTTTTATGTATTTTAACAAACCTAAAGATCGAAGAAGAACTTGCAAAATTGCTCGATAAAATAATTTTTCACACATAGGTTCAGTTTTACAGCTTATTCTTTCCAGTGATTGTTGAGCAAGCATTCTTGCATTTCTGGAAAAATGCGGTTCGATCGTAAACGAATTCGTAATTAAATGGTAACAACATGGAACAATACACAGGCATTTTATATCTTTTGCATAAATGAAAGATTTACACATAGCGTGAGTTAAATTCCCACAAGTATGTAGGCCAACCAAGATTGCGTTGTTCTTATTATTTCCATCAAGAAAGTTGACATCTATCAAACTGGAATAGTCTGTCATTTCATTAATACTTTCATTTACGTAACAAACCTGCGAAATAAAAATTATTTGCAGATATATCCAAAGAAATATTTTACAAAAAATATTAAGGAACATAACTGTTAATTAGAAATAAAATGACGAAAGGAAATCAATGATCAGAAATTATTCTGACCCTTTTTATGTTTTTATTTTTCTTAAAATTGATAGATTTTAAAATCCATCCGTAATTTTCTAGAAAATGTGTTTTTGTAACTACAAAAAAATTTCCGAATTAAAAAATTGATTTTTACATTTTTTGAAGGAGTTTTTTGAAAACATTGTTTTTAGATTGAAAAAGGTAAATTTGCTTGAAGTCCGTAAAAGTCAGTTTCTTTTTTAAAAAAAGGTCCGTAAAGTCCGTAATTTGATAGAAAAAAGACGAAAAGGTCGTAAATTGTACGATATAATTTGGAGAATTTCACAGAAATTACAAATGATTGCAGAAATTCAATTATTTTTAAAACTAATAAAATTCTTTGCAGAAATTCAATTGCATTAAAAATTTTTTTTAAATTCTCGTAAAAAATTCAATTATGTTTAGAAATAATTAAATTCTTCTCGGAAATTCAATTATTTTCAAAAATTTCAATAAAATTCTTAGCAAAAATTCAATTTTTGTCATGAATTTTTCTCAAATCAATGATTTTCAATATCTACTACTTTAATAAATTTTTCCAAGAAAATTCAATTATTTTTATAAAAATTTGATAAAATTCTACGCAAATTAATCATTAATTAATTTCATAAAATAATAAAAAATTCACAGGAATTCAATTATTTACAAATTTTTTTTATAAATTTCTTCGCAATAATTCAATTATTTTCATAAATAATAAAACTTTTACTGAGATTCAATTATTTTCGTAAATACTAGAATTCTTCTTAGGAAAATGAATTTCATTAAAAATTTTAGAAATTCAATTATTTTCATAAATATAGCGTGAATTTTAAAAAAATAATTGAATTTTGAAATTAATTTTTTTGAAAAAGTTTAATTGAATTTTTTTTTTTATATTATTTGAAGTTTTTATTTTCTAATATTGAAGAATTTACAATTGAAATTTCGTAAAATTGAATATTTTAAACAAACGGATTTGAAAATTGTCAAAGAACTTTCTTGAAAATCATTAAAAATAATTAATTTAAAGAAGAATTTTAGTTAAAAATTGTTGAAAATAATAATTGAATTGAAATGTTAATATCTAAGGCCTGTGTTTATCTTTAAGAAAATTTGTATTCTTTTTTTCAATACAGAATCGAAAAAAAATTATTCTAACCAAATCAAATTTTTGAATGGAAATATTGTGGAGAATGCCCCACATACATTAGCTGTAATAATGAATTTATCAAGAAACTCACTTTGGGAAATGAGAGACCGTATTTTTGATGTATCAAGTCCTTCCGCAATAATGCACTATTGTAATGTGACGTTGATGATTCAATAGCTAATGCAGGAATTCCATAAACTTCGGATAAATACTGAGATAAATATGCTTTACCAGATCCGGCGTCTATGATTAAATCAAAGTCATTTTCCATAAAGTGAGCAATTGCCTTCGAAAACCTGTCAATTTCATGCCACTTTTTGTTCTTCATAAAAAAAGATTCTTGTTTTAACGGGACAGTGTTTCGCTCCCTGTTTTCGGTCTTTGAAATCATCGACGTTAAACTATTAAAATTTATCACTTCAGGACAATTACTTAGTTTTAAGGATTCTGTTAATTTTTTAAAACTATTCAATTCAGAACTCAATTCAGTTTTCCACCAATCAGTCTTCGGATCCTGAGAAGCAATTCCTTCAAGTTCTAATTTCATTGATGATGGGACAAACTTGTCCCAAAGATCTTCCGTTATGAAATCGACCAAATGACAGTCTACAAGATTCTGATATTTCCCGATCAAATCAAGTACATTTGTCAAGTGCTCTTCGTAGGGCATTTTGTCTAAAAATACTGTCACACTTTCAAAAATTGAGCTTATCTTTTTCGAAAGATGTTAAACTACTTTTCGTTATGGAACAAAATTTATTAAAATTTAGTTTTATGCTTTCGAAAGACTTTACAATTTCAGTTGAACTGCTGTTATGGTCGGGAAAATTATCTATACTTGAAAGCAAGTTTTCCTTTTGGAGACCAATTTTTAAAAGTTCTGATTGAGTGTGACTTTTCATTAATTCACCTTTATAAAATCCCAATTGTGCGGCAATTGCACTTGTTTTGTGATAACCAAGATGATAACCTTGCATTAAATTATTTTTTCCTACTTTATATCCTTCTTCATAATTATTTGTTGCTGCTAAATTCTCTGACATTAACAACTCCTCGAAAACATTGTTGACATCTAATTCCTTGGACATTATTGAATTGTCAAAATAAAAGACTTTCGGAGAACCATGTGCGAACGCATGGAAGAGGTTGACAACTAGTTGCTTTATTTAAGTGGAGTCCACAATAGGAGAAGTTGCGCATCGATGTTAGGGAACTGTCCCATTTGACAAAAAATTTCACAAGAGTGAAAAGGATAGAGGTATCGACTATCTTTCTTTTACTCATAAAATTCTGCTTTCGGTTTTAGGTTACGGTCACACGACTTTGGAAAAACCATTCTGGTCTTTCTCTCTCCTATAACAGAGGCATAAGTTTGTCTCACTCTATATTTTCTGTTTTTGGAAAAAGTAATAAAATGCAGAGTGAGGCAAACTTTTAGGTCTCTGTCATGTCATAGAAGAGAAAAAGACAAGAATGGTTTTTCCAGAAAAAAGAGAAAGAGAACTCAAATTAAAATTTTTCTTCTGTGGCGAGTGTGGAGCCCCATGTCAAACAAAAAACATAAAAACAAAGCAGAGTTCATGAGTACAATAAGGGATAGCCAAATAGCTTTGTCTTTTACACTCTAAGGGCCAGTTTCACCAACTGGCGGTTAAGCTTGGTTCAACTGAACTCGTTCAACTCTTGATCGTCAGAGTTAACCGCTAGTGCGTTTCACAAGCGTAATCCCAGTTTAAAATGAACGCGTTTAGTTAATCTACATTCCCTAGAATTTCCTAGTGGTTATGGCGCTTAAATCTAACCACAGAATGTAAATAAACAACTGAACTAACCTAAAATATAAATGTCGCATAGGTTCTTTTGAGCTTAATATCTATTATTTTAAATTAAAACCTTAATAAAAAATGAGTAGTGGAGTAAAAAACAAGTTGTTCTTTTCATGATCATTTAGCTTCCACAATATAATATATACCAATTGCTTAATTTCTTATTCTAGAATAATTATTTAAAAGTATTTAAAAAAATTTCAAAAAATACAAAATTTGAATTTTTTGTTAAAAATAAAAATATCGTCCGATTAATTTTATAAATATTGATAAAATATATACTTTATATACATGAATCGATTCGTTTTTATGGCAGAAATACAATTTTGACAAGAGTAAATGAAAATTTTAATAAAGAAAAAAGTTATTTCAAAAATTACAAAATTTAAATTTTTTGTTGAAAGCAAAATTAGACAGAGAGAGCCAAACTTTTTTTTAAAGTCCTTTTTTATATTTTCTTTGTAAATTTCAATACGAATGTCAATTAAATGACCATTTAAAATTTGCAATGGCTTTTATATGAATATTTCTAAACATTTGTCAGATTTATTTTTCTTTTTTTAAAATCCTTCTTTCTTTATATTTTTTTAATTTAATTTACATTTAATAAAGTTAAATCTGTTGAAACAAAGCATCTACATGCAATATTGTTTTGATAGTGGGTCAGTTTGGGATAGAATGCTTTGTATATATAATGATTCCACTTATTTTGTTAAGTAAATAATACACTGAATGTTAATTAATTTTTTATATATAAGTAGTAGTCCCTTAAGAAAATCAACAAATCGTAAAAGTTCGCACTGCGCTTCGGGAGAGTTCGGCAAGTTGAACGCGGTCAACTCTGCTTAAACCGACAAAATTCAGCGATTAAAACAGGGAGTATAGACTTAAGGAGACCAATGTAGTGTGTATGAAATCAACCATTTTATGTCGGAAGTTCATGGTTCTGAATCTTCTCGTATAGCGCGCAACGATCGCATAGATAGCTGAAGTTTTAAAATGAACATGGATTTCTATAAGTTTACTAATTCATGTATATACTATATATTCAAATTATAAATATAAATATAATAATAATAAGATAACAATACAAAGTTTATATTACAGGGCTCGGATTGTGCGACTTTTTTGTGAAAAATGTGCTTTTTACAGATTTTTTTGATTCAGGAGTGTCGATCGCTTGACATAACCTCAAACTAAAAAGTGATTTTTAACAGCAAATAAAACCATAAATAAAATGATTTCACCAAATTATGAAAGATCCAGTTGTACAATTATCAGGAAAAATTAGGTTGGACCAAAATTTGATGTAAAATCATAATTGTTAAACATTATGTGTTTTTTCTTTAAGGGTCAGTAACCAATTTTGATAAATAATAGCTCATTCTACTCTTTGAAACATTCTCTACATTTCCACTCGTTGAATTTTGTTTAAAATATTTTGTTCAAAAGTTATTTAAAAAAATTTTTTTATTTTATTTGCTTAACTATTGAACAAAATATTTTAAACAAAATTTAACAAATGTAATTGTAAAGAATGTTTTAAAGAACAGAATGAGCTACTATTTGTCATAATTGTTAGATCACTTTTTAGTTTGAGGTTATGTTAATAACCTCAAATTATAGTAATAATTAATTTTACTATAAAGGTCATGTTATTCAGTGGCCACGTGCCTATTAAAACTTTATTAAAATTATTGATAGAACATTAAACTCTTTTAATCAATTTTATTATAACTTTTATAAATAATTAAATTTTTTGAAGAATTTCTTTGTTTTTTTTTAAATTGAATCCTTTAGTGAAGTTTTATAAAAATTGTATTAAAAATAATTGAATGTTTTCGAAGAATGTTATTATTTATGAAAATAAAATTCATTGTCATAATTTTATATTACCTATGTATTATTTGAAATTATTTTTAATTTCAAAATACAGCAAAAATAAGGTTAGGACGGTTAGGACTTAATCAAGCGACTATATATGCGATCGTTTGCCATCTACAGGATGTACACGTACTACTGATGTACTTCCGACAAAATGTTGCGCCTTTCAGTGAAGTACATGCATATAAGATTGGTCTCCTTAAGTCTATACTCCATGGATTAAAATATAAACTTAGTTCAACCGAGTTGAACGTGGTTAAGGGCCAGTTTCACCAAACTAGTTCAAGCACTGAACTCGTTCAAAGTATGAGTTGAACGAGATCAAGTCTCTGCGTACGTTTCACCATCTACTTAACCACGTTCAACTCGGTTGAATTAAGTTTATATTTTAATCGCTGAATTTTGTCGGTTTAAGCAGAGTTGACCGCGTTCAACTTGCCGAACTCTCCCGAAGCGCAGTGCGAACTTTTACGATTTGTTGATTTTCTTAAGGGACCACTACCTATAGGTATAAAAAATTAATTAACATTCAGTGTATTATTTACTTAACAAAATAAGTGGAATCATTATATATACAAAGCATTCTATCCTAAACTGACCCACTATCAAAACAATATTGCATGTAGATGCTTTGTTTCAACAGATTTAACTTTATTAAATGTAAATTAAATTAAAAAAATATAAAGAAAGAAGGATTTTATCAAAAGAAAAATAAATCTGACAAATGTTTAGAAATATTCATATAAAAGCCTTTACAAATTTTAAATGGTCATTTAATTGACATTCGTATTGAAATTTACAAATCTGATCTACTACACCACAATCACAAAATATGTATGCACTATTATGTTATTAAATTAAGAAAATATAAAAAAGGACTTTAAAAAAAGTTTGGCTCTCTCTGTCTAATTTTGCTTTCAACAAAAAATTTAAATTTTGTAATTTTTGAAATAACTTTTTTCTTTATTAAAATTTTCATTTACTCTTGTCAAAATTGTATTTCTGCCATGAAAACGAATCGATTCATGTATATAAAGTATATATTTTATCAATATTTATAAAATTAATCGAACGATATTTTTATTTTTAACAAAAAATTCAAATTTTGTATTTTTTTAAATACTTTTAAATAATTATTCTAGAATAAGAAATTAAGCAATTGGTATATATATTATATTGTGGAAGCTAAATGATCATGAAAAGAACAACTTGTTTTTTACTCCACTACTCATTTTTTATTAAGGTTTTAATTTAAAATAATAGATATTAAGCTCAAAAGAACCTATGCGACATTTATATTTTAGGTTAGTTCAGTTGTTTATTTACATTCTGTGGTTAGATTTAAGCGCCATAACCACTAGGAAATTCTAGGGAATGTAGATTAACTAAACGCGTTCATTTTAAACTGGGATTAGGCTGGTGAAACGCACTAGCGGTTAACTCTGACGATCAAGAGTTCTTCTTCTTCTTCTTCTTTGATGTCTTCTGGCTTAGCCGACTGACAGAACTATAAAATGATAAAGAAGTAGAGTGTAACTATTGTTATAAGTTGTATCTGTATTGTAAAGTTTTGGTATTGATCTTGAGCATAGGCAATGAGAGTGTTGAGTTGATCATCTCCCTCCAGATTTTCCGTGATTCACATTCAGATCCGATTTCGAAGTTATAGTCTAAGGTAGGAATGTTCTTGGGCAGACAAGCAGATAAGGATGTCATGAGCAGGACTACATAGAAAATGCAAATCAGTTTTTTGTGAATTTTACCCTTACATGTACCCAAATCTGCTAGGATCCACTTGGTCCACTCACACTCGTACCAACATTTACAGTCGCCACGAGAAGCCAAGCTAGATCAAAAGAGGTGCAAAAGTACATACTCAAGGTGTTCAAGCTAAAACGACAAAAGCAATAATAGGATCTCAAATCAGTTGCTCAGAATGAGCGAAAAAACCGCCCAACTCTCTCACAGTTTCACTATCTGGTGGAAAGATCAAATCATCGATCGAGACAGCCGCCGGATCCACACCCGGATATCTTTTATTCAAGAAATTATATAAACCAACTCTGGCCAATGCCAGGTTGGGACAAACATTCAACACGTGTTGTAGAGTTCTCCGCTCCTCGCCGCAGCCACATCTCACCGCCACATTCCAATTTATTCTTTGAAATAGTTCATAGGTAAAGGTGTGACCTGTTCTGAGTCTAGTAATGGTATTGATCCATTTTCTAGGGTGCAGGGAATCTCCAAACCAAGGTCTACTAGTCTTCGGCGACACACGCGAGAAGTACCTATGCCCCTCCAGATTTCGATCCGAAAATGGCCACATGTGCACCCAGTTTGCAGATCGATCCGGAAGTAGGACGTCCCGCGCGATGTCACTCAAAGGTGGTCCAAAATATATTCTTTTATTTTGTTTATTAACTTCTTTGCATATAGAGTCAACATGTTCGTTGCCTCTTATTCCCGAGTGTGCCGGCACCCATA